GAAAGAACATATGTGGAGATCATTTCCGCCTCATGTTTGCAATGAGGAAAGGTACGGGCAAGGATAGCTTTTGATGGTCCTGAAATTGCCATTTCTGATGGATTTTGAAGCTATTTTATGAGCTAGAAGATTTTTACTTGAGATAGGCCAAAAATGTCCTAGAAACGTACTACAAATTTGCCGTAAATGGTAATTTCAGGACCATCAAAAGTTATCCTTGCCCGGACCTTTCCTCATTGCAAACATGAGGCGGAAATGATTTCTACATATGTTCTTTCAGATGTCCTGAAATGCACCACAAAGTCTTCTGAAACATGAACTCTTTGCCGTACCGAAATGTAGCCATATTGAGTCATTTCAGGTTCGTTTCAGGCTACACAAAAATTATCATTTTCCTGCACCGCAAATGGCTACGAAAGTGGTGGCAAATCTATCATTTTAGGACACCAGAAAGCCCCGGTTAAGTCTCCGAAAATGAAACATTTTTGATGGCTTGACCGGGACATTTCAGGTGATCTGAAATCAGCTCATGCCCGTAGTGTGTGCTGGAATGTAATTGTCTTGCCAGCCCAGGTCAAAAGCGAGTCCAAGCTCGGAGAGTTTGACCATCGGCGCTCGCGCTAACAGGGTCGTCTCGGGAGCCCATCCTAAATTGGCAAGAGTGGTTCAGATCTCCTTCGTAGATGCCACCTGCACGCGCACTGGAGAGGGGCCGTACCACCAAACGAGCTGCGGCTAACGAGCAGTCTCCCACTGAGTGGTTACGATCCCACTGAGTGGTTACGAACTGGAATATTTCGTGGACATCATCCAGTGCCCACGACGATGCAGGGCACCTCAGAGCCACTGATGTGTCTGGCGTTGTTGTGAGACTTGGTCGACGTCGGCAAGCCATGAGAGATCTAGAGATCATGAAGAACGCGACAGTCCGTATGGCTTCATAACCTCTCTGACCACTCAAGATGACGCGAGTGACTCAGTGTCAGTCCCTCAGCATAGCGCGGACCGCTTGGCAACGTCTCCATTCTTGTTCTTGGAACGTCCTTGAGTCTCAGTCCAAACATTCCAGTTCCGGACTCTTGTGTCCTGCATCTCACAGATGGTGCACGATGGGTAGGCACAGCCGGATAGGGGAGTTTCCGTGCTTCAATCCTGGACGTGCACATAATGGCCGTGATAACTTTGCAGCTCTGGACCTTCGGATAATGACTGAGACACATGGCCAGGATTGCTAGGAAGATGAGGCACATACGTTAAATTGCCTTCATTGCGGCAGTTGTCACCGTCCCGACATGTCGCACACCGCATGTCTCAATAACGGCTGCGCTGTCCCTTCTCCCTATTTAAGGCTCGTCCACTTTTCTCCTCGCTCCCCACAAACCCGCAGTCATCTTCACACACTAACAAACGTACCCCCAGATCTCTCGAGCATAGACAACAGACACAATGTCTACTAGTAGCACCATTCCCATCACTGCCAGCCTCGCTGTGAACCACGCCAAGGACATCATCGCCCGCGATCGGGCCAGAGCTCTGAAGATGCTGCAAGGAGTACGTCCCCATGGCCCTCGCGGGAACCAATCTCCCCACCACCACGGATTTAGCGAGGCTGCCATCCGTCCCGATGCAACTGGTGTTGACGCTACCGATACTGCAATGGCCTACACAGTTGAAATTGGTGTCGGTGATCCCGAAACCAAGTTCACACTCCTCGTCGACACTGGTACGTGCCAGCTCCGATCTGTATCTTCGCCACTGCTGACCATGTGGACGTCTACCAGCCAGCTCCAACACCTGGGTCGGTGCTGACAAAAAGTACGTTGCGACCAAGACTAGCAAGAACACCGGTGATACCGTGGTGCGTGCAGTTGCTGTAGTTGCTGAGGCACACGTAAGCTGCTGACCACACGGGTAGAGCGTCAACTACGGCACTGGCAGCTTCTCAGGGACTGAGTGTAAGTAACGACATAGCCGCTTGCGCCTACAGCTTTTCTCACGCGCACGTCAGTCCTCGACAAAGTGACTATTAGCCCGGACCTCATCATCGAGAAGCAATCAATTGGCGTTGCCTCCGAGTCGCAGGGCATCAGCGCCGTGGACGGTGTCTTCGGTATCGGCCCCATAGACCTCACCAAAGACACTGTCTCTGGCCAACTCGAGGTACCGACCGTCCTCGACAACATGACCTCGCAAGGTATCATCAAATCCAACGTTCTCGGCATCTTCTTCGAGCCCACGGTCAAGGAGAGGACCGTGACCGGTGAACTCACCTTTGGCGGATTCGACCAGAGAAAGTACGTAGCTCATCTATGGTCACGAGCACGCTGATACTCATTGTACTCGTGTAGGATCACCAGCAACGTGACTTTCACCCCGATTACCACCGTGAAGCCCGCGGCCGAATATTGGGGCATCAAACAGAACATCAAGTATGGCAAGAACTTACACCTACTCAGCGGCTCAGCGGGTGTCGTCGACACCGGTACCACGCTCCTCGTGCTCGCGACCGACGCGTACCAGGCGTACCAGAAGGCGACGGGCGGAGTGGTCGACGAGACGACCACTCTCCTCAAGGTGACCGAGGAGCAGTACAACAACCTTCAGAGCCTCTACTTTGAGATCGGTGCGTCGGGATCGTATTTCTTTGATATCGCCATATGACCGACACATCCGGATGCATAGACGGCACTACCTTCGAGATGACGCCGAACGCCCAGATCTGGCCGCGCTCACAAAACGTGGATATCGGCGGTGATCCGAACAGTATCTACCTCATCGCCTCCGACCTCGGCCAACCCAGCGGTGAGGGCATCGACTTCGTTAGTACGTGCCTTGTACACCCTGCCTCTCCATGACGCCTATGCTGATGTGCGGATTGCAGATGGCTTCACGTTCCTGCAGCGCTTCTACAGCGTTTTTGATACCGACAAAACCCGGGTCGGCTTCGCGACGACCGCGTTTACACACGCGACCACGAACTGAGCATGGTCCTGCGGCGCTCCGACGTGAGAGACTCAAGACCTGATTGCACATGTACGATAGCTGACGAGAAACCTGGACTGAGCTGTAACTGTTGGAATATTCACATGTACTGTTGGAAGGATTATATGAATGGGAATAGACTGCGTATTTCGCAGCATTGAGAATGCGAGAGATGAGCGTGTTGAGAGTGTTGCGGCACGGATGCCATTTGAAGCCTCGTGCTCGACAATAACGACAAGATGCGAGAAGAAGTCAGGGGCTGGCCTAAGCCCAATCACTGGTAGCAGTGCACAGTGTTGGAAGGGTCAGGCTGACCTCGGGTCAAAGGGGGTCAGAAATGACTGACCGGTCAGGTCAATTGACGGTCAGTTGACGGGTCAGTGGGGTCAGGCGCCCGAAACAGCCGACGAGCGCCCGTTGACGACCAGGCTGCTCGAGGCTGCTCGATGCCGTCGGGGACGGCGAGGAGAGCAGGTGGTAGTGGTAGCAACGATATCAATACTAACTAATCCCGACAACAAAATATATTTCGATTTTTCTTCACATTACTGCTCACTCTCGTGTCTGCGCAAGGACTTCCAATAGCGATACCATGCTACGAAACAAGTGCCGCTTTGGCTCTTCGTCCGAAAGCAGTGTCGAAGATTCCCAGTCCTCGGTCCCTACAGATCCCTCTTTGCTGCCACTAGAAGACGATGCTGACACGTCGGGATTTAAGGAACTCACGCAGACCTCATAGCTTTGGTCGCCGAGTTTGAACGACTGGTCGATGATGAAGTTGACTCGGCAGCCACTACCGGCCCAGCTTCATCCGTAGGCACCTCTATTCAAGCCCAGGCCTCAGCATCGGATGTGGCAGAGACAGCTCAAAACGTCACTTCGCATTCAACGAGCACTCGCCGTTCTCGCTGCAGAGACGCTGGCCGTTCACTTACCCGGATGCATCACAGACTGGAGGAGCCTTAGAGATCTACTGATGCCGGGAACTAACTA